GTATTAACACAGTGCTGCTGGTTGTTGACTTATGGGGAACTTTTTCTCCTTCTTTACACGTTTATCTGCTCTCTGAAGTTGCACAATGTGCATGAGTGCTTTTATAAAAAGGAAGACATTTCATGAGAGAAAATAAAAATTGCCACTTCAAAACTGGCAGCACGTACCAAGTTTTTAAAAGGCGCAAGAATCCTGCCGTTCCTCTGTGTTAGCTTAGGGCCGAACATCTACTTTACTTTCTTAGCCAAAGGGCAAGAAACCACAGCAGTTTATATGGCGCAACTCAGGCCTCTCACTCAGGAGATGGTGTGCTTGACAACTCCCAGCTTGCAGACTCACAGCTGTGTCCTGCCTGCCATGTGGCTTGTAGACTGCTGTTAGAGTCTCACCCTCTCTTCTTACACTGGTCATTATAGGAGTTTTTGTGAATGAAGGAAACCCTACTTTAAGGCTGAATTTTAATAGGTACGAAAAAAGAAAAGAAAGAAAAAGAACCGTCACCAATCAGTAAGTCAAAATTAAGCAATAAGAGGCATCTCTCACAGAGGGATGGTTCGATATCTAGAAATGGCCTGACATGAGCGCTTCTGAATGGCTAATTTTAGGTCTTCCTGAAAACAAATGATTTGGTTAGAATTGTGTATTGAGGCAGAAAGAGATAAACAAAGTCTTCTCAACCCCTTTTATTTAATCAGGCATCACATCTATGTTATCTGGAATTAATGATCTTTTGAACATGCTTGATCTCAGAAGCTATTTTATGGTGGAATCTTGACCCTGAGTGTTGATCTCAGAAGGTATTTTATGGTGGTATCTTGACCCTGAGTGTTCCTGCTGTAGAGCTGTTGCAGCGTAAGGTTTTTGGCCCCTGAAACTTGCCTTCTCCTTCCCTTTCCCTGCCTGCCCCTTGTGGAGTATGGCACATGCCACATAGCCCTTGCCCCTGCCTGCTGTGGGTGCCAGGGAAGGACATGGGGTGCAGGGCAGAGCGGCCACTGAGGCCTTCCAGCACGTGGCACGATGGCTCCTCACCCAGCTGCTCTGCCTGTGCCCACCTGGGACAGGGACATGCCTGTAGGTTACCTGAGGTTCCAGGTGGAATCTCAGGCCTTTCTTAATTACGGTTGGGAGCTGTCATGGTTTCCCCCCTCCTTCCTGGTGTGTGGACCCTGTCTACCCCCTGTGCCATGTCCCCATGAGGCTGTGAAATGGTCTGGAGGGTATCAGATCCCTCTGGCCTGCTTGCACTCCTGATGAGGAGGAAAAGGGAAAGGAGAGTACAGAAAACAAGGGAAGACAACCACTCAGGGAAAAGAAGTGGTGAAACCAAAAAAGGGAGAAACAGTTGGTGAAAGATCTCGGCCATATGCTCGGTCCAGCACTAGGTGACGACTGCCATCGCAGGTAGCTGTGTCCCACACTGGCACAGCCTGGCACAGCTGTGGCACTTACTCCCTCCTGTGGGTCTGCCCGTGAACACAGACATAAGGGCACACACTTCCCCACAGACAGGCGATGCAGCAGTGACCCTTCTCTGCTCGCAGTGAAATTAGCCAGCACACTCTTGGTGGAAGGAAAGAAAACCACCAGCTCTTGCCAAGCTGGACCTAGTTGCCTTGTTGACAAGATTGCAGTTGCCATGAGCAGACTGGAAGGGAGGAGAATATGATTTTCCTCAGGTGTGAGATGTGGGCCTTGAACACAGTCCAGTCCATGGCCTTGGTCCACCCTCAGGACCCCCAGCCTTGTTCTAGGGCCTCCTCTTACCACAGTCCCCAGGAACACTGCATGCCCCCTGCTCCATAGAACTTTTCCCAGTGAGTTTTAAATACTTTTTTTTTTGGCTCAGAGAGGGTAATCCAATTGCATGGCATAGGAACTCACCAAAGCTATGTTTTGTGCCCTCATGGTAAGAGTGACATGAGTGTCTGGCACCCACACTGAGCTGCTGGGGGGCTGGAGAGGCAACCAGGGCTTCCCTCTCGCACCAGAGATGCTGGGGCTGCCTTGGCACTGCATAGCTATTGTTCTGCCTATAGATTAAAACCCATGAGAGAAATTTTTTCTCTATGTACACTTTATTTTGGCAAAATTATTCAGAATATTTTGTTGACTGAGGTAATGAGTTTCAGCCTGTAGTCCAATCCTTTTGTCCTGTCCGCCCATGCTGAGGCAAGGGCGCTGGGCAGCACATGCTGGCGCTGCCGAGAGGACAGCACGGCCCCGCACCGTGGGCCGGGGGAGAGCAGAGGGCGCAATTGGTGGCTTCACTGAGTGTGCAGAAAAGACCAGAGTTGTAAACTAAGCCTTTTAATAAAAGTCCAGGAAGACAGAGTATGAGAACTCTGCGAATAAGGGATTGATAACAAGGAGTGAGAAACGCAGACTTTCCATAAAACGTGCAGCCACCCAGCCTACCTTTCACATGCCAGGGTCTCTGGAAAAGCAATGAAATGTAAAATTATGTCAGAAATGGGCTACTACCAGAACAGGACCTGGTATGTAGTGAATGCCATGTGTTAAATAAATAAGAAGTTCTAATGACCAAAAGCATGTATCAGTGGGGTAGACAGCTAGCAGACGTGTGTAGTGCCAACCACTTGGGCAGATGTCTCAGAGAGTCACAGGAGAAATAGGAGAGGGAGAGATTGTCAACCTGTAGCCATGGTGGACAAGAAGGGGTGATTCTGGAAAAGGGCATCCAATCCCCTGCCAGTTCTCTGGACTGTGACCACAGCCTCCCTTCTCAGCTCCCTGTTCAGATGTGCCCCTGCATTAATCCCTCAAGGCTCCCCATATGGACAGGATAAAGGCCAGAAGGACCTTTCTCAGTTGCCCCACCTCCCTTGCAGCCTTTTTCAGGGCTTGCAGACCACTCTGCCTCTGCCCTCTGCACCCAAGAGGCCTTTCTTGCCCCCCTGCTCAGCTTAGGTTTGCTGTCCTCCAGGTCGCAGCCCCAGAAAGCATCCTCAAATCCTTACTACTGGCATTAGGCCCTGTGTCTATATAGAACTTTACAAATTGTACCGGTTTCCAATATCCACCATGGTTACTTGTTGGTACTCAATCTCCCGGCCTAGACTCTATTTTTGTAAAGGAACAATGTGTTGTTTCATTTTCCCACCTTAGCATTTAACACAATCCTTGCCCATAGCAGACAATGGATGGGTAGTTGGACAGGTGGATTGAATAGATGGGTAGAAGGGAGAGAGGGAGGAAAAAAGGGGAGTAGAAATGTTGGGCTGTGTCTAAGATTAAAAAGTAGGGCTGGGTGATGCGTTGGAAAGTAATCTGAGCAAATCTGAGTATTGAAATTAGGATTGGAACAGAGAGTCATTTGGGGAAGAAGAGATGCAGGCTGGGGATTGGAGAACAAGGAAGAATTTCCAGGTTTAGAAGCAAGAGTCTGGCAAGAACCTAGAAAGGGAGCACCCAAGGAGGACAAGCTTCCCAAGAGAGATTATGTGGTCACACCAGAGGTGCAGGGGGTAAAGCAAGTTGAGAATGGGGAAAGGCACCAGTATTTATGGTTCAGTGGCTGGGCAGATAGTGCAGTGTTCAGGTTGTGGCTGGGTTAGAAAGTAGCTGAAGAGACATGGACAGAGGCTATATGAGTTGAAGGTAAAGGGGAGTGGAGAACTGGAGCTTCACATGAATGGTGAGCCTCAATGGAGACATTTTTTTCTTTGAGCTGTAGGAGACCCAAACATTGTACAAAGCAACAGGGAAGAAGCCAGTGGCCAGGAAGAGCCTGAAGAGGCAGGAAGGGACAAGGGATGAGTCAAAGAGATGAGCAGGTTCCCAGGGAGCAGCCAGGAGAAGAGCAGGAGCCATTCCCAGCTGCCCAGGCCAAGGAGAGGTCAGTGTGTGAAGCCCTAGGCCATTCTCTGCTCTGGTGAGAGACAGAGGTTCTCAGAACAGTGGCTCCTGTCCCTTGTCCCTCCTTGGTGACCAAGGGACTGAGAGAAAAGGATTCCAGGTGGAACTGAAGGCAGAAGCATAAACACATAGAGTAATATCCCATACACACCAGAACAAGGGATGGCGTATTTCAGAACACAACGGCGATGCCAGCAGCTCTTGTCTTGGACATCCACTGTGAGGCAGACACTGCCTTCCCCTGGCCGACCAAGGCGCCAGTGCAGGACACACCCACGAGGGCCAGGAGCCAGGTGTACAGGGATGACATCAGTCTTTGCTCTGTGTGGTGGAGGCAGACATTCAGAGGGGCAGGCTGCGGGGAACATTCAGATATATGTACTTTGGAGAGAAAGTACTTTTGAACCTGTGAGAGGCCACTTACTTCATCTGCAGTTTTCCTTGAAAAAAAATAAAATCGCTTCATTTTCTTGTTGATGCAGGTAATAGATTCTTATTGTAGAAAATATGAAAATACAGAAGAGTTAAAAAGGGGGATATGGGAGATGCCTTAGTCTTACTACCCAAAGATAAGCACTGTGAACGCAAGAGAAAATTGAGTAAAATGTTATGGTTTTAAAGGCACCATTTCCCTTCTCTCTAAAGTGTTAAGGGAGACAGCTGTGGCCATTTGGGGTGTCATTCTTTACAAATGGAAGGGCATGCTTACAGTTTAAGAAGAAAGAGAATGATAATGTATCTACAACTTCCAAACAAATCAGGAAGTATGTACTAGTCCAAAATGAGAAGGTGATATTAAAAAAATATCTATTTGTGCATTTGCTTTTATGTCATTCCAGAAAAAATATCCCATAGGAGGAAGCTGGCTCTAAAATGTGTGTATAGGAGCAATTGTGGCTCAGTCTAGAGGAGCATAATTTCTTTGGTGAATCTTTTAATGAGAAAACAAAGTCCCCTAAAGAAAAGTAATAGTCTCCCCAGAGAGGCTCCCAGAGGCCTTTTCCCCTCCCACTACCCCCTGCTCCCCTCACCCCCACACAGTGTCCTCTGTGTGGAAGCAGCAAAAGTGAGACTGAAGAGGGGCCAGGACTGTTTTGACAACCTTATGTCTCCTCCCACAGAGAAGGGTCTGCCTCCCGCAGCAACGGAACCTGGAGCAGAGGGGCAGCCTGGGTTGCCCTGGGTCACTGTCACTCCACAGAAGCTGCGAGGAGCCCCGGAGCAGCCACCCCACCAGCAGGACAAGCATGTGGCCCAGACCCTGAAGTCTGAGATAGGAAAGCCAGCCAAGGTACCTGAGAGAACCCAGGTGCTTAGAGCCAACCCTTCCTGTGTGTAGGTGCGGGACAGAGCAGCGAGCTGGGGCTGGGGGCTGGGGGCTGGGGGCTGAGGCCCCGTGAGACCACATGCCCTGCCTGGTCTTTACAGAGCCCAGGGCCTGTGATGATGGCTGCTGTCTGCCTTTGGTGTGTGCTGAGCTTTTAAGGAGGCAGAGAAGCAGGTGGATCCGTTAGTAGGTGGAGACAGCTCTCTGCTCTCTGCCTCCTAGGCAACGCAGCATCTGGAGAAATGGAACAGGGTTAAAATAACTTCTCAGTTAGATGCAGCAACCATATCCAAAGCTCCATCTCAACTCCGTATGTGGTGATGAACCAGCCCCGCTTTTGCTGTTGCACAGCGTGCCTGCCAGGGTTCCTTACTCCCCTCCCAGAGCTGTGGGGCTGGAACCCAGAGATCCATTTTGCAGTCTCGACTGCAAACAACTTTTTCAAATCCAGATGACTGTGCTTTGAAACAAGCTGAGAATCACAGCATTTGTGTTCTCCCTAATAGTCACCACAGTGAATCCACGGGGTGTTTTATCCATCTGGGGAGGTGAGCCAGAGCCTGCACTAGGACCTGCTTCCCTTCAATCTAACCCAAACCTCAACTGGCCCCTTGCCTGAAAACCTGTTGACTTAGAGAATTTATAAAACAAATATTAACCAGTGATCTGATCTGGAGCCTCTGTGAGCACACCAAGTGTCAGAGAAACCTCAAAGCTATTTCCAAACACAATTCATTTTGACTCTCAAATGGGATCCCTGCTGGCCAATATCTGGGGCTGAGCCCAGGGGAAAGGGCAGAAACCAGGATGCCTGTGTGTGCCCTGGAGAAGCCCACATAGTCTGAGCGCCTGTGCTCCGAAGGCTGGACATCAGCAAGGGCACAGAGCAGAGCTCCCCTCAGAAAGCACCAGCCACAGATATCTGCTGGCAGAGAGACCTTGGATGACTTATTGCCCTGGGTTCTGCTTGTACCCATATGAGCTTCAGGTGACGGACAGCATGTGTCTTTCCTGTATCCTATTAGGAACCCATGAAGCAAGCTGACTTTGTCCGCAGCAAGTCATTCCTGGTGGCCCCAGCTAAGCCTACTGTGGACCGAAGGCAGGGCACCAAGCTCCACCTCCAGGAGGGGCTGCAAAGAGGAATCTCTTTGTCCCATCAGAACTTGGGTATGAAACCTGAAAATAGTCCCAAACACTCTAAAATATATTTCTGGGATGGGTCTTGCAGGTTTGGTTTGGTTGGGTTTTTTTTTTCTAAATTACTTGACACATTGATTATTTAAAATAGCTTTTAGTTATCATTTCCATGCTGTGAAACATCTGTTTTAAGTGTACAATTCAGTGAGTACTGATGGGCAATAAACATATACTTACCGAGTTGGACAACCATCACAACCGAATTTTAGAGCCCTGAAAAGCAACCTTGTGCCGCCTTACAGTCATTCATCACTCCCTGCCCCAGCTCTCGGCAACCACAAATCTACTTTCTGTCTCTCTATATTTACCTTTCTTCAACACTTCTTATAAATGGAATAATAAAATATGTAGTCTTTTGTAGCTGGCTTCTTTCACTGAGCATAATGTTTTTAGATTCGTCTCTGTAATTGCATGTATCAGTATTTTTTACATTTCTTTTTAATTATGGTAAAATGCACATAACAAAACTTACCATCCTAACCATTTTTCAGTGTGCAACTCAGTAGTGTTAAGAATGTTCACACTTGTACAACCACTCCCCAGCATTCTGCAGTTTTATTCTGGAAGTTTCTCCTCACTGCACTTGAGCCTACTTGTCAGTCTTCTTGTCACATAAGTTATTATGTGCCTAAATCTGCTTTACATTTTTGCATACTAAGGATTTTATGTTTGAGACCACAGTTAAGATCTTGATGTGTATTTTAAAGAAATTCAAGAGGCTTAAGTGAAAATTTAAACTCATTGCTCATGTTTCTGTTTGTTTTGTCACCTTACCAGCAGCTCAGTCTGCAGCAATGACAGAGAAGGAATTACACCAGCTGAAGAGAGCAAGTTATGCCAGTGCAGATCAGCCCTCCTGGATGGAACTTGCCAGAAAGAAATCTCAAGCTTGGAGCGACATGCCCCAAATTATAAAATAGGTTGACAGTGTGCTGATAAAAAAATGTCCACCACCTTGATGGGTCACTTAGTGAGAAAGTGCCACTAAAGGCAAACAAACCGAAACTTAAGAGTGATTTTTATCATCAGGTTATGGGAGGGCAAGGCTGGGGAAAACGAACCAAGCAAACAAGAAAGACAGACACACAGCCACAGTCCGGGCCAGCAGTGCCCGAAAACAAGAACACCATTCAAAAGGGCCAGGAACAAGGTCTGGTGCCCGAAGGTATGAATGCGAGTCTTTCAGAACCCCTTGATCAGAGGGGCCCCAACAAGGAAGAAAAAGGAAACGAAACATGGATGCATAACTAGGACAGGGAGAACGTGTGTCTGTGCCTCCACTTGAGATCAGCTTGTGTCTCTGGTCTTTGTCTTGCCTGTGGATCCTGTTTTCTCCTCTCATGTTTACTTCTGGGCATGATATTGATGGTAAACAGGGACGCCATTTCCAAGAGCAGCTATAAAAGTCAGTTTTCCTGAAGATAGGAGCAGGACAGAGCTCTACAAAGGAGCAGAAAGGGCACAGCAGGGCACATCAATTCATAGACTGTTTCCAAAAATAATTTTTAAACTTCTCCACTAGGCATCTGTGACTTAACCATTGCACAATACATTGCCTGTTCAATAAAAGGTTTCAAACATGCTTCTGTCATATGTGTAAATGTTATTTCTACTCACATTTAGAGAATGTCCTCCCATACTGAGTTAATGCAAAGTATGGAGTTTTGCTTAATATATATCTCATTTAATATCTCAATTGGGTTGATTTTGGAGTTTGTGTTTTTCTTAAACTAATTTTCTCCCAGTAAAATTTTGGTGTTTATTTTTTGGAAATCAGAAACTAATAATAGGTTTTTTTTCTCTTTTCATCTATTTGGTATAACGTGAAAAATATGAAATTTCCCAAAATGTTGTAATCCTTTAGCATCTAATTAATCTAGCCTGCATATTCCACTAAAAACTAGGTTTTCAATGCATTAGCTGGGATGACCCATGAATGCAGAATGTAGAGAAGCCAGCAGAGGAAGAACATATATTTTGGGATCTCAGAATCATGCCTCTGTTATATAATACCTCTATTTTTAAAAAACATTCCCAATTTGCTCCTTTTAACAAGCTAACCTCCATGGGAATATGTATCTGGTCAGGAACGTTTAGCCATTGGAATCAGTAAGGCCTGTCATGATTTTACATACGCTAAATTCTGGTACTTTTTTTGCATTTTTCATCTTCATGTATAATTACTTTTCCAGCTGTTAGAATTACACAATTTCATCAGGTCTACCTTTATTGAAAATGTCTTGGGATAGTTTTTTTCCTTAACCAAACTGATTTATTAATTACATTGTCTTAGGGAGCATCAATACTGAATGCCATGGTGAATGTGCTCTGAACGAGAACCCCATCCATCTAGTCTCATTCCAAAAGCTTAGACATGAAAAGATTTAACTAGAAAAAAAATTCATGTGGCTATTCCCCCTAACCACTTCCCCCTAAAGTTACAGGAACTATCTCAAGTTTGAGCAAGGCTGCCAATTTGAGGATAACAAGGCTTCCTCGTCCTCACTGAGGAGACGAAATCATCTCCTCTTCACAGAAGAGAAATCATCAAGAAGGATAAAAACACTGAGCTAATATAGGTGCCCCTGTAATTTTAAGAAAAATGTGCTCAGTGAGATGGGTCCTAGATTTGCATCAATTGTATGTGGAAGACTGAGGAAGAAAAAAAATTGAAAGGCAGCAATCTCTGTATTGGATCCTAAGAGAAACAATAGGGAGATATTTCTATGGCAGCTGCAGTGGTTTTAAAATATGCCACAATTTTTGGACAGTCCTCCCTTCAAAACGTGGAGCCTAATTTGCCTTTTGTGAGTGTGAGACAGACTTAATGCTCACTTCTAATCCCAGAATGTAGCAGAAGCTATTTGTGTGACTTCTGAAGTGAGGTGAGGAAAGAGGTTGCTGCCTTACCCTGCACTCTTTGGGACTGTCCTCTCTGAGAGGAGTCAGTCGTCATGTCTTGAGGATGTTATAGTGGCCTACGGAGACACCCAGGTGGAAAGAATGGAGACTTTCTGTTATGAGTTAAATTGTGCCCCCACTACCACCACACACACAAATTATATGTTGAAGTCCTAACCCCCAGGATCTGGAGACAGGACCTTTAAAGAGGTAATTAAGTTAGACAAGATCATGAGGGTGGACCTTTATCCAATATGACTGATGTTCTTATGAGAAGAAATTTGACACAGATACACACAAAGGGAAGACCATTTGACAACAGGAGGAGAAGACAGCCATATACAAGCCAAGGCGAGAGGCCTCAGAAGAAATCAACCCTGCCCGATGCCTTGATCTCAGACTTCCAGTCTTCAGAACTGTGAGACAATACATTTCTGTTGTCTAAGTCCCCAGTGTGTGGCACTTTGTTATGGCAGCAGGAGCAGACTAATAGGCACCTCCTGTCAGTCACTAGCACCAGCTTGCCAGCCATGTGAAAGAGTCCCTTAGAATTGGCTGAGTCCAGCCCCAATCAAGCCTTAGATGACTGTAGCCTGGTTGACATACTGACTGTGACCTCATGAGAGATCACAGGCCAGACTGCCCAGGTAGTCTAGGCTGCGCCTAAATCCTGACACACTGAAATTGTTAGGTAACAAATGTGTGTTAGCATTTAAACCATTAAATTTTGTAGTAATTTGTTACTTAGCTACAGGTACCTAATATAGCAGTTATGTGTTCTTTTTCTGGGTCTTAAAGTGAAAAGTCCTTGTTTTTACATTAATATTTTACCATGTACACAGTATATCTAACACTTCCCAAACTGCAATCTGTCCAAGGTTGTATGGCAGAGATAGCTAGGGGTGTACACGAAAGACCTGTAACCACCTCATGTAGTGTGGGGTTGTTTCTGGAAGCAGATACCCAAGCAGAGACCACATCTCCAGCTGCACCCCTCCTGCCCATCACACACCTGCCTACACATGGGACCCTGTCATTGAGTTGTGGCTGATGGACTGAGAGCACAAGTGATGACCATCTCACACACAAAGTTCTAAGTTTCTAGAGAGGGTCCAGGCAGGCAGCCAAGTTGACAAGGAAGTGTCCTATGGAAGAAATTTCAGAGAAAGGAGATGTTCTGGTCAGAAAGGCCACGGGAAGGCAGCAGAGGTCCCCTCAGGTGTTTGAAGAAAGAGAAGAGAATTGACTTACTCTATGAAACTCCACAGGGAACAAATCAGGACCAGAAATGACAGCTCCAGAGAAGGAGAGAGACATGTTTTACCTATCAGAGTTACACAGCACAACTCCTCAAGGGAGGGTAAGGAACATGGGGCAGGATGCTGTCAGGTCATCCCCCGATGCTCAAGGGGAGCAAGCTGTGGAGGATGGGTGGCCATGCCTCTGGGATGCAGGACAGATCTTGGCCCTGGAAAGGAATGTGGGCTGGGGGCTGACCCCAGAGCTACTCTGGATCTACAAAGCAGGGCCTTTTGCATCCATTTTGTAATGTAGTTACATTATATTGTTCTTAGCTCTAATTATAACCAAGAAGTAACCATCCAGAAAATGATCCAAATGGGCTTTTATGCACAATGTGGTTGTTCAGAGTGCTTTGAAAGCTTTTTAGTGCCAGGAGGAGGAAGCCAGGCAGAAGCAGCCAGTCAGCAGATGGGCCTTCCCAGCCTCCTACTGTAGTTGTACGTGATGGGGGAGGGGCACAGATCTGCTTCCCTAGCCCCACCCCTGAATCTTCCGGTCAGCTCTACTGAACCCCCTCACAGAGGGAAATATTTATTTATTCCTTAGTAGATGAAAATAATCTCTAACGAATAGGCTTCTTAGCACCAAATAGCAGAAATAGTGCAGGCTGAACACATGCATTTTGGGTAATAGCACAGGTGCTCAGGCAGTGGCTGACATTTGCTTTATGTGAGTTGTCTAGTTTCCTTCCTGCTTCTTTGTAGGGAAATTATCATTAGCATAGGAGTAAAGAAGAGCTGTGTTTGTGATGCCCAGAAGATTATTAACAACAACAGTCAGGCTAGGTGTTGGGGTGTGCTCCAGTTTGCTTATTAACCTCTCCCAAGAGCACAGGAAGCATTTGCAGAGAGGCCAGAGGCCTCTAGACTTGGACACCTCTGCTATTACATTTGCAGAAAAACAGAGATTCAACTTTTAGCCCACTATTCAAGAAAGAAGTTGCCCCGGAAAGATTTCCCCACAGGAATAAGAATTCTGGTATTAAATTTAAGAAAATACAAAATTGCTACCGAGACAGAAAAAATGAGGGGCAAATCACTAGGGAGTCCTTTAGAAAAAATAAACCCAATCTTTCAGAAGCTGAAGTCTTTAAATTCAGATGCCCCTTCTTTCTTCTCAAAGGAGGGAAAGGAGGAAAACAATCAGATTGTTTTCGCTGTTGCCCACCCCCACCACCTCATCTACCACGTTCTCTGGGCAGGGGTGCTGCCCAGGCTCCACAAGGCCAGAGCAGGAGGCAGAGCGTGGATGCCCATTACCTCGCTGAGTGTAGGGTATCTCTGCAGAGCCCCAGCCTCTGGGAGCACCATGCACTGGTGGTGCTGAAATGCTGCGAGCATGAGAAATGTTGATGATGGATGTGGGGCTAGGCACTGAATTAGTTGTGGACAAGTTGGGAGCTTGGCTTCCCTGGCAGCAGCTGGAGCCAGACATATCCTGGGTCACCTGGGAACCTGGGAAATTCCAGAAGCTCCTGCCCTTGCAGGCTGAGGTTCTGTGCATCTGCTGGACACATCTGCACTGGCTGTAGCAGTTTTCCAGAGCTGCCTTCTATTTAGGACCTCGATCCACTTGGTGCTGTGCTTCCAAGCTGTTACAGGCTCATGTCCCCCCATATTCATTTGTTGAAGTGCCAATCCCCAGGACCTCAGAATGTGACCGTATTTGGAGAGAGGGCCTTTAAAGAGGTGATTAAGCTATGTGAGGTCATTTGGGTGGGCCCTAATCTTGTCACTGAGGTCCTAGTAAGAGACTGAGGCACAGATCCACACAAGGGAAGACCATGTGGTGACCAAAGGAGATGATGACCATCTACAAGCCAAGGAGAGAGGCCTGAGAAGAAACCAGCTGTGCCGATACCTTGATCTTGAACTTCTATTCTCCAGCATGATGAGAAAATGGATTTCTGTTGTTTAAGCCATCTAGTCTGTGGTGCTTTATTATGACAGCCTGAGAAAACTAATAAACAAGTCTGGATTGGTCTACATTTTGGATTGAGGCTGCCTCTCTCTTCTGGCCTGGGAGAGGTGGCCTCATGGGCCCTTGTGGTGAGCCACAAGGAAGATCAGCTTATTGCCTTGAGCAAAAGCTTTGGCACTTCTGGCAGATTATTGTTTACTGAGGAAAAGAGAGCAATCCCCAGTTTTTAATGCTCTCTCCCCACTTCCTGATACCTTCGCTTCTGTACACCTCATGAGTTGTCAAGACATTCCAGTCTATAATAAAACACCTCATTTCAGTCACATACACTTCACCCTCCTTCATTTCCTGCTTGTCAGAGCCCAGAGCAAAGGTTCTTAGTGGGAGTGGAAGGGCGGGTAGAGAGGGAAAGGAGGAA